TTTCTTTTTGATACATATTGATGAGTTTCAGTATGTTAAATAAACTATAAATTCCTTTCATTGAACGATAATAAGTCTAGTTTTAATATATATAAACTAGATGTACTATGTAATAATTTAACTATTTTTTTCAAATGGAAAATGATAATATTGAATAACTAATTGAGTAAGTTGTTTTAAAGGAAGAATGCCATTAGGAGTTTCTGGGTGTGGGTGTGAGTGGGTATGGTATGGATGTGGGTGGGTGTGGGTGGAGTGTGTGAATGTGGGTGTGAGTGTGGGTGTAGGTGTGGGTCCTCTAGATCACACCTACACCCACACTCTCACGCACACCCACACCCCAAGCAGTATGCATGATAGTGCGGCTCATAATTCATTCTACTACGAAATGTAGAATACATATTTCGAAAGAATTGGCGTCTTTGGATTTTTAATGTTCTTATTAATCGATATGATTTCATATTGAGAAGCAAAATCTGCCGTACAAATATCGAATTCAGGTTCTTTTGGTCTATCAAAATATTTGTCAACTAAGCTAGACATATATATTTTCATCATCTGGATCCATTTCTTTTAACATATTTTGCGATTTTAAAAATTTACAACTGTTTGAATGTACTGGTACAAAAAACAAAACCTCGACTTGAATATGTAAAAGGCATTTTAGTAGCCCGATAAATAGCTTCTTGTACACTAACTTGTCGATTATTAAAAAAATGTACCTGTTAATTTTTTCATTTCTTCACGTACTGATATATTTCCTTCACGACATTCTTTATGAGTTGCTTCTAATAATAAACTCATTTCCTGTTCTGGGTTCGTTGTATACGATATAAGATATTTTGCACAGGCATATGGATCAAGTACGAATTGAATATCCATATTACCATTCCATGCTCACAATAATTCTTCATTATATTGATTAACCCATCGTGCATTAGGTTCTCTTTTGTGAATTATTATTGTTCTAGTATAAACTAATCGAAGAGCACTTTCATACTCGTCATAGGTCCAGTTATATTTTGTTAGAAGATTATAAAAATCCGACCGTAATAACATTTTTTCTTTTCCCAAAGTATTCATCGTTGTATTCCTTTTAGCTAAAATTTCTTTCACTTTTTTACTATGTTGTTTTTCATCATCATTATCAACTTTTATTGGCTCACATATAAAAGTCCGTCGAGCAACAGGCCGCGGAAATCCAAATCGACACAAAGTTTTATGATATTTTAAACAAGATTTTGAATGATTACGAGAATGAGTTTGTACTTTTTTGATAATATTATGTAATTCGGCATCTTCATCCAACGGAGAAAATCGTGTCGTAATATATTTGTCACAAAATTTAACGATTTCTTCACGAGTTTTTTCATCTGTTTGGGGTCCATAGTATTTAGGTGCACCTTCCACCCAAGTTGGCATATGTGAATATGGTGAGCCTCGTAATTGCAGTTCTATACGAGCAAACCAATCTTTTACATTTCCTAGACAGCATGCTCCACCTGTCACAAATAAATCCATCAAAGAAGTAAATCGTCTTTCAAATAAACGAGCAGCTAGAACAGGATTTGCTCGTAATAGTTTTGCTTTTTGTTCAAATGCATATGATTCCTTAATTGCAAATTCACTATGACGTACAAATGTATCAATAAATTCTTTCCAACGTAGATCTGCACTCGACAGTGTAATGAAGAAAGTTGGAAAACCTAATTGGCGTGTCATTCCGAATAGATCTTTTAGACGTTGATGCCAATACTATGGACTGCCTGAGACACATTGCAAATGGCAATATATCATATCTTTATTCATTAGAAATTTCATTTGCCCTTCGTCCAAGCTTGGTTTAGCAGTCATTGGTAATTTTTTTCGGAAAGCAATATTGATTTCGGAGTATACTTGTTTCAAGTCGCCTAAATACTGTAGATAAAAGATGTAACTTGAATCAGCAGCAAACCGAAAATCTGATGAAAATAAACGTGCTTTACAATATTCTTTCCATTTCAGACTTATTTCACGTTCTTCATCATATGGGCTTCGCCCATCTGGAAATAAATGAGGAAAGGCTAATGCTTCAATTGTTTTATCAGTCAATAATGAACTCAATTTATTTTTTTCTGCTGGTGCTACTATACATGGTTCTTTATCAAAGACTAAAAAAATCATTAAAATCACATGGCTGAGTACATGAATCCGTACCAATATTATATTTAGTACGAATATCTTTATTATCTTCATCTAATTCTTCATCACTATTAGTATTATTTTCAATGTCACATAATGCTAATGCTTTCAAACGATTTTTATCAGATATTTCTGTTTCTTCAAGTAAATTTTCTTCTTTATTGGTATCAACATCCATCGATTCAATTATTGACTCACTGTTGTTTTCGTGTTTTTTTCTTGATTAGATGTAAGATAATTTTCATTAATATCATTTATATTTATGTTTCTATAGCCTGGATGCATTTTAGTTAAAACAAATAGAGCATCTCTCACATCGTGTGGATTTATTAATTGTTCTTTCCACACAGCTTTATACTTTAGTCGACGTTTCAATTGTAATCGCACCATCATAGATTTATCAACTGGACGAGATAATGCAGTTACAGTATCTTGTACATCTGATGGCACACAATGAAGTGGCCCTTTAGTACCTTTTTGTGCTAATCTAGTTGATAATTTACCCGATGTTAAATTTACAATTTTCATAAATGGTAATCTTAAAGCAATTAAATGTTTTTCGAGATTCTTTAATTTTTTTAATTCAAATGGGCTTCATACACTTTTAACTTATTCACGATTGCTCGACTTGGTATTTGTCGCTTCTTTATTTTATCTAAACATAATTTACAAATCCATTTTCTTTCTCTTGATAATCAATAGTTAAAGAAAGATTGAATATATGTTTTTATTTCATATGACATGTTCTGTTTTATATACTTTTCTTCAACAAATGATATTACGTGATTATGAAAAAGTGCTAATCGGCATGATATACAAACATAATCAGGCCATTCTCGAATTATCTGTCGAAATTTATTCAAGTTATTCATGTATAGATTTCTATGTTTTATTGTAAATTTATGACTTTGAATAACATTATATTTTTTTAAAATACGTCTACGTTGATTATAAAGACGTCTTGAATTTTGTCTCATGATAGTATTATTATTTCGATACCAATTTAATGCATACTGAATCATTTTCAATCGTGTCGAATTATTAGTATAATATCTGTCCAAACCTTGAGCTTTCTTACGTGCTTAATATTGATTTCGAAAATCTGAATTATTATGATATCTATTTAAAATATGAATCTTTGATTGTTCTTTAACTTTGCCACGAAAAACTTTGTCTTTATGATATTTATGACAACAATGAATCTTTGACTGTGATTTCATTTTTTCACGAAAATTTGAATTGGTATGATATTTGACTAAAATACGTGAGTTTGTACGAGCTTTTTCTTTATCACGAAAATCATTATTGTTATGATATTTATTTCGATAATATATTCTTGATCGTTCAAATTATTTTTCACGAAATAAAAGATTATGAGAACAATTTTTCTTGAACCAACGGTTTTGTCTACTAAACTTTGACGTTGATGTTTCATTACTATGACTGTTCCATGATCTTTTTTTATCCTTTCGAATTTGTAATTGTCTTTTTCGTTCATGATCTAAACGACAAACTTTTGATACAAGTTTTTTAATAATATCCTTGATAATACTTAAATCATCAAGCTGCCATTCCATCTCGATTGAATTAGAAAATAAAACTTGTTCATCGTTGTTAATATAATTGATGCAGTTTAAAGAAATTAAATTTGCATCTGATGTGCCGAATGTTCTCGGTGCATATGAAACAACTAAACCATTTTGTCTAAAACTTAAAAATCTTTTGGCAGCTTTTACCGTTGGAATTAAAATTCGTCATGAACGACTAACTCGTAAATGAACCAGTTGGTGTCGTTTGTAGGCTTCTTTTTGTGTTTTAACTTTTGATAAAACTGATTTTTTTCGAACCATAACTAATGTAATAAAATCTGATGAAATAATTTTCGATTTAAAACACTTAGATTTTCTCGTTGAGATTAAGCACGTATAAACTAAGGATGGCTTAAACTCCTTAGTGAGAAACGGGTATTATCTCTTAACTTGGCGAGATAATCAAAAGAAAAGTTTCTTTCGAGCTAAATCTTTTTTATTACTTAGCGAAGATATAGTCGATTCTAAGTAAGAAACTTTAGAAAGTCAAAAACTTGGTGACTTTCTTTCAATTAAATTTTCAATTCATGGTTTTTTGTTATTATTTATTTATTGTTTTGACGAATGTGATCTAAAATTAAGTGAAAAAACGTATAAAATCAATAAGATACTATGGGATAAAACATCTTTCTATAATAAGTACAAATGTGGAAAAAAGATTACAAAAAAATTTTGTTATTTAATTAATTGTAGCACTCATAAAACACTTCATAACTATATAGAGCCTTTACGAATATTTAGATCCAAGCTTTGTAAATAAGAAATATGTATTCTGATAGAGGGCTCTGGTGTTTTTTACTTCTAAAGTATCGTTTATTTATATCTGTGATTCATTGTCTACTATCAGCTGTGTTCACAGCTGTTTGATATATGAGAAAAATAAGTGGCACGTAACTTTGTTTTATTTTTTCGAATTGAATTATCTCACAGCGAAAAGGCGAAATTGATTCATATTTGTCATTTTTGGGAGCTGATTATAAGGAAATGAAATATGTTCAGAGCAATATCGATACAAAAAGGTACCAGTTCGATCTCGATACTTGGACTTCGCGTTTGAACAAGCACTTTATGACTATCCGTCTTCAAGATCATCCGTTCACAAAATGAGAAGTTTAGATGCGTATATCGAGAAAAGATAAAAGAAAAAAAGAAAAAAAGAAAACTCGTGAAGGATTACATGAATGCTGTGCTTTGCATCGCATAAAAGAAAACTCGCACACGACTACATGAATGATGTGCTTCGCACCGCATTAAATACAAAATGTTAGAAAAGCTATTACAAGTTTATACAACTTCACAATGAACAAGATCAAGTATAATTCTGTGACATCTGCACAGGTCACTCTTTTTTAGTTTATATTGGTTAATCGCGTAATGAAAGGTTTTTTTTTCGTGATATAAATAGTTTCCACTTAAAGATATAAAATTGTTGGCAAAGCTGTTTCATGATTTTGTGAATTTTCAGAAGTTCTTCTTGAGCGTCTTTTCATAGAGTCTTGTATTTCAGGTGAATATTTCTTTGGGTATATTAATTGAAATAAACGATTTTTTATAGTATGTCGTTTCAACCATGCAAACAATAATAAAGATAAAATACTAATGACTCTAAAAACCAAAAATAATCCACTTGTTGCTTCAATTCCAATCACAATTGATGTTGCATCTGAGCTGGAACAGTTCTGTACTTCAAACCATTTTTCTCTTAAATTTTCAAGTTCACCTGATTCTTTCAGTGATAGAATATTCACATCTAAATCTTGTGCATATAACCATTCCTTAGGAGTAACAATAGCAAATACAGTTTTAGAAAAACCATCTCCGACTGCAGTTAGATCACAATATATATTATTCAAGACATATTCACCATTACCACTATCCACAAATGATGCGTCAATAATACCTGCGCGTAGATCATCGAATGATTCTTCATAAGACTGTAATGGATAAAAATTTCGAATACTATTAGATATTTCTCTCAAATAATATTCTTCATCAGATGAACCTACAACAACACCGAAACGATTAAATGGTATTTTTCCATTTTTAATATCATCAATTCCAGAAATAAAAGTTTTTGATTTTGTTATTGTCAGCTCAGATGCTAAATTTGCAGTATATGATGCTACTAATATTAAACTTAAGATATATAAACCACCAGTTAATAAACGTCCAGAAGCTGTATTGCTACTGAAATCTACACCATATCCAACAACAGTACCAAAACTATACCATAAACTCATTGAAATTTGAGACAATATTGATCGATTTTGTAATGCTTCATTATTTTGTCTCTCTATTATAAAGACCAAAATACCAGAATAGATTAAAGTACCTAACAATAATAACCAGAGATTACGTGAAAATGGTTTTAAGAATGAGAACAGATCGATATTAACATTGCCTGTTTTTCGTATAAGAATACGTAAAGAATCATCATATATACTACTTGAAAAATCGACTAATTCTCTTCGTTCAGCTGTAACAGTCACATCACCTATCACAATATCGTAAACACCATTACTTACTGCTAGAATTAATTCATTATATGTTTGATTTGATGGTGCTAATTTAATAGTTGGAATAAATCCCATATTATTTTGCAAGCGTTTAATAAGATCCGGTACATAGCCATTATACTCTATGGTACTTTGTCCAGATGCATCTGTGACCTTTTCAACTATTGTAAATGGATCTGATTCAATAATACCTATTCGTAAATTTACATTTTGAAGACTTGCTCTACCAGTAGGTTGTGTTAATGTATTACCAGGCCATATAATAATATTTTCTTGTGTAGATATTCTCCAATCACCAGGATGAGAATATTCTAATATAGGCACAAAATGCAAACCATTCGAAGATGGCTGAGCATTTTTTGCAGAATAATACAAACCAGTTATTCGATCTGTTACATTAACACTAAACTGTATAGGACCAGATATACCAAGAAATTCTGTTCTAGTAACTGCATCTAACAATAACTTCGAATTAATGAAACGATGACCAAAACAGTCTGCAGCATTAACAAATGATAAACATGAAGAACTATTTATTTTTGATGCACACAATTGTTGTAATGATTGAATTAATGTCCATGTTGCATCAAATGCAAATAATGCATAATAATCTACATTCATCGATCCAGGAAATGATTCAGGTTCATACTGTTGCCACATACTATATGCTGCATTTAATAATGTTGCATTAATTGATGCATTGACAACTGATCCTATAGTTGGTTCCATCAGAAGTATTCCAATTAAGTTTTGATGAAACCTTTGCTTGAAAGAATTTAATGGAATAGTGACGCTGAGTATCCATGTAAAATATGGACCGACTACATTAAAATCAAGACCCTCTTGCAAAATCATAGATGTATAGAGTGATTCAGCCCATATAACAACAATTCGTGTTGCAGCATTAGTTAAAAGGCTTTTCAAATCACCACGAATACTAAGTATACCAATATCAAATACAATCAATTGCTTAACTATTAAGCCACTTTCATTAAATGCTTTACTCACACTTTTGTGGCTCCACCAAGTCCAAAAGCGTCATTTTGATAAATTATTGTACATGATGTCCACTTAAATCGAATGAATAGTTTTACAAGGGCCAATGCAGCTGCATCGTCCGAAGAAACTGTACGATAAAAATTAGGATAAGTATTTTTATCAGATAAATCAGGATCAGTTGCAGAATACGATATAACAGGTATACCAATTTTTTTACCAAAAGGAGCAATTAGATGAGCTTCTCTCGATAATTCTGGACCAACGATACCAACAACATTTGAAATAGATACTGCATCACACGTAACGTCCAGAGCATCTATTATGTCACCAGTAGTTTGCTCTGCTTGCCATCCTATGAATTCTCCTTCGATTGTCATATTATATTGATGAGCAAGTAGAATTGCTGCCTTAAACATTGCGCGAGCATGAATAGCAGCCAAATTACTAGTATCAGATACGTTTGCTATCTCATGAAAAAGACCTAGCAGGCTAATGTTAGAAGAATTTGACGATGGCCAACTTGCTGTTACATAATCTATGTTGAATTTTACAAGTATAAAATATAACCATAAATGTTGAAAGTTACAGTACTATAGCATCGTTGTTCAATTATCTAATAAATAAGATGATTGAGTTAAGTATCAACAAAAACACAATATATACTAAAATTTAAACACAAGAGCAAAATAATATAAGAGGCAATAGTGATTGAGAAATCGAGAAAAGCGTTTTTGTCATATTTTTATATGATTCGGCAGATCTCGACAAGCCCTACAAGAATATCTATATTAAAAACAAATTTTTAAAGATATTATTTGAGATATAATTTACAACAAACTTTAAAATAACTTTGAAAAAATTCGTTCTTTATTTGTAGAAGAAAAATGTTTGTTTTTTCAAAAAAATTGAGCATTTTCAATTGTTAATTTCGATGTACATAGAAAGCCTAAGAGAATGTTCATACAACATGTCGCCCGAAAGTGGCTGAGCCTACAAAAGGACTACTAGCAAAAGAAATCTATTGGAGCATACTATACAAATTATGTACTCTAATTAATTTTATTAATTATCTATTCTATAAATTATACCTCTTTTTGCTTGTCATAATACTAGGAAAAAGATATTTATTGTTTTTTTTTAATTCTGCTGTACTACAACTGAGAGCGACAACTTGTCTTGAATACATTCAATTCAACAAAAAGTCACTTTTAACATAGTCAAGTATTGCTGATTTAATTGCATTTTAAACTTGAACATACATAGAGAAACATATCATAGATGTCAATAAAGGTGTTTTTACAATATTTTTGAGTTTTATAGGGGTCCTGTGAGGTCACTTTTGTGCAAAATTTTGATTATTATGATATTTAAGATCATCGTTTCAGATATCAATACATTGATTATAATTTCCTCGCCACTGCTTGATGAGTTATCTGCAAACGAAAGTGATTGTTAGATAATGCATGTTGGCAACATCCATTTTCAGAATACAAAGAACGGACGTTTATTAAATTTAAACTAATAAAATTTTTTGAATGAGTTGTATTAAAGTTACGGCTCACATCCTTGCAATTTTTCACAACTTTCAAAATATTGGCTCTTTCCATCTAATTGTGAATATGGATACCTTGAATTTTTCTTCTTTAGTGGTTAAAAATTTTCTTGATTTTTTCAGAATCAATAATGTTTGAAAGAAAAACAGTTCTCAAAAATTTTCTAATCGATATATCTTTGCAGCCACTTCAGTATAATTCAAACAAATAAATAATGATGTTAAGAGAATATTTATTGCGCAAAAATAAGATTCTAGCTTAAAAAATAAGACAGATGTAAGTGTGAGAATATCATTAGACATTTTTGTATACATATAGAAATACAAAACAAAAGAAAAAGAAAAACGTAAAGACTGAACACTAGTGGATTTGATGTGATGAATTTGTTAAGAGCAGAGCCCGTGAGATAGTGAACTTCACTTTATTTGAGTTTTTACACAACAAATTGTCTCGTTCAAACACAGCCACAAATAAAATAAGACGAAAAAAATTTGTTTCATGTTCTGATTATGCAACATTCAAGAATTCTTTTGATGTGGACGAAAAAGATTGCATGTAATAAAGTTCCTTCATTTACTTTTCCTTATTGCTTGAATTAGAACTTTTATTTTCACACAATAAGTACACATTTAGATGCTCTTTGAAATTACGATTTGTTGAAATTGCTCAAGTAGTTGTCCAGATATATCGATAGGAAAACCTTCAAGATTTAGCAACTTGTGGCGATCATTTGGCTCTAGTGTTTTATGTAAGAATTTCATAATAGCTCGAATGATGTGCACTGCAGGGTGTGAGTGGGTATGGAGTGTGGGTGTAAGGTGTGAGTGTGAGTGTGGGTATGGATGTGGAGTGAGGGGTGTGGGGTGTGGGTATGGATGAAGTGAAGATAAACAGCCACAGTCACAGCCACACTCCACGCCCATATCTGTTCAACACTATTTAGAAACTTCATTAAATGAATGGTTTAATCAATCAAAAGCCGCTCATGTCGTAATAACCAACTGGTCGAAAATTGCCGATTAACCTCAGTTCTTCTATTTCAATGTTTTTATTATTTCAATATATATATAATTTCAACTTGTTGGCTCTATCTGTATTGAATAGATGTCGGCACATTCGAATAACATCCTTGACATACGGCCAATGACGGTGCAATCTAAACGGTCATAACACCCGTCAATCAAGCAATATTGGAGGTAAATCACCGTAAAAGTCTCCTACGAAAATTCTTTCGCCGTAACGATTCTCTCTGATTGAATAATATCTTTCTCATCGAGATTCTCTTCCCTGAAAAAGAAAGAAAAAAAATGAGTGGAAGAAAAATAAAAGAATAAAATGTGACAACAAATATAAAACAAAGAATTGTAAATAATGATCAACTATCGCATAAGAAAAAAATCAATTTGAAAGATGAAAGTCCTTAATTTCGATGATTGTCTTTGTACTTGATTCTTTTTCATTTCTCAAATAAAAATAACCCAATAGAAATGAAAACATACAACTATACTGCATAAAATCCAATCGAGAAAAATTTTTATACGACCAGCATCCACACCACCACCCACACTCTTGTTTGAATTAAAATAGTGTAAAATCAAAAGTAATCTGTTTTCTAAAGATGAAACAACTTATTACAATTAGATTATAATAATGCTATTATAATAGGTTTTTTTATTTGATTTTGATTTTTTTTGTAGTGTCGTTTTACATGAGTACTGTGAAAATTAAGTATGCATTTAGAAAGTGTTCACTATAAACTAGGAAGTTGTGATGTCATATTCAAGTCAGTTCTTTTTGGCTTCGAAAACTAGCTTTCGCCATCGAGCTGATCCATTCGCATCTTCGTTGAATCGATGATAGGCATTGTCAGCAACTTTCCAGTCTGCCGAAATTCGTTTGGGTGGCAAATCCTTTTGAGGTTGCTTTATACCCCACCATCGCCATTTACAATTGTTAAAAGCACATGTTTTCGGTTCGGCATAATGACCACATACTGGGCACTTTGATGTGTCAGCGTTCGTGCCACCAACCAGATCGAATTGTCCAAATCCAATATTAATAAATACTGTCTTTTGATAGGCCTCACAATGCCCATTGGTGCACAGAGCCTCAACACAAAGGCCATGGCTCGCTGAGTGACAATCAGGAGTGCTGGAACCCCACTCACAACGTTTGAGACCACTTGTATCGCTCGCATCAACAAAATATAGACCTAACTTATTATGAACAGCAATGCCATTAGCAAAATATGTGTGCGGGTCGGCAGTGCGTAAATTGTAGACACGTGTTGCCGGAGTAACAATAGTTTTCTTGTTTATGATTGACTTTGTTTGAAGACAATCATCGACCAAGCTGTAGATGCAATCGTTGATGCGAAGCTTATTAAGTGAACAAAAACCACCATTTCCGATGAAGAATGGGTGTTCTTCAGTTACACACAACATGGTTTGCCCAACATTTAATTCGATGTATTCATCGACATCATGAATGAACACTTCTTCAACCGATGTAGTGACAATCTCACCGAACAACGTAAATGCAAGTAAACTGTCACCGACTTGAATTTCGCTGATATTTTTCTTAGTTCCATCAGAAAGCGAAATAAGTGTATCGGGTAGGAAACAACCATCTTGAAATTTCTTGATTAGATGTAACGTGGAATCTAAATTTAATAAAGTCGCACTATAATTGTGAATAGCAAATATAAAGAGTATATCTACAGAGTGACTAACAGATTTAGATTTTGAAAATTTCTGAAAAGATAGTAGAAATGAGCATTTACATTAGTTTCCAGTCATATTAAAATGCAGTTTCATAGAGCTCATCATGCTCACTTTTAATATATTCACTACCAATATATAGAACGCTCATCTTTGTGATAGAGACATTTTCATAATACCAAAAATTTATGACATTCGTTGGTATTAGTATTGCTATTGATACTTTGCCGAGAAAAACGAATTACTTTTGTAAGGTTGTACTTTCCTAAGGAAAGCATTAAAAATACAAAATTAGCTTCGCGAAATTTTTGTCTTAATTTTTTTTTGTCGAGAGAAAAAGCTTCTTGCAAACGTCTATCAAAGCTTTCGGGACTGAGTAATTCCAATCTGTTATCGATTCCTCAATATTGTGAGTTTGATATTTCTCGTCGAACAATCATTACTAATACCCTAATACTGACTTGCTATTACTACACGCCTAATTTGTATGCTCTTGAACTTATATACGACAGTTGAAGATGTCGACTAGTAAGTTTTAAGAAACTGAGATATCAATGTAAGTGCTCATTTTTGTCACCTCATTCGAAATTTTCATAGTCGAAAATGCCAAAATCATTCTATGGTTTTTCAGCGACAAGTCCTTAAGAAAATACTTTAACACACTACATACTATGACGAATGCCTAAATCCGACAGAATGCGGTGATCTTCCGGTTGAAACCCAGCGAATAACAGACGCTGTTGAGTAGTTGCTATACCTGTTCTGTCTTCAATCTTACGTTTGATTTTCTCGATAGTATCGCTGGCCTCACATTCGATTGTGACGGTGCTACCAGATATCAAATACACGAAGATTTGCATTGTGAATATATAACTAGAATATTCTAAAAATAAAGCTAAACAAAGAGGGAAGATCATTGCTTTAATAATATGGCTATGTAATGACGAATGACTCAGATAATGTTTCTCAGTGTAACAGCTAGCACTACTTATGTCATTCACTTGGTAGCAAGTGGTAAAGTATCATGAACAAAAAAAAGAACAAAAGTTAAACAGTCGATAAATGAACTGATGTACTAAGAAGAAAACTACGACTTTCTTGTCGTCCAAGAATTTTTTGCATCATCACTCGGAAAGCATGATA